TACGATAAGGTATGAAAAGAACTGCAAAATGTGTCACTAACGCCCCTCATCCTGCTTTCCTCTTCCTCTTGTCTAAAAAAAAGCTATCTATGGGTTGGCTTGTAACAGGAAATTATAATATGTAGATATAATTTTTTTTTATTTTTTTGTTCGATTGCTAAAAGTTTTGAAAAGTTGAGTTTATGTTACGGATGATGTTGGACTAGTGGCATCAAACTGTCACTTTTTTAATATAAATGTCTTTTTAGACGGACGATATGGATGCTCTAAGATACTTAAACGATATACGAGCATATCGCCGTCGTCAATGTTATGACGGTGCAGGCAACAAATGTCAGAGGAAAGATGAAGGTTTAAGTAAACTTTGTTATCGGAAAATTTTTATTGATGGTATTGGTAAAGAGGATTAAAAAAAAGTGATATTGTATATTACACAAATACAGAATAGTTGAAAAGAAATAGGACCGTGTTACTTGCTGTTAATGCTTCTTTTCTTTCTCTTTTATTTATTAAGCTTTTGAAAACACTATTATTATTGTCATTAGTACTGTTAACATAATTATTTAATTATTGCTTCTACTTTTTTTAACTCTTTACTCTTTATACATTTTTGATAGGTTTTTAAAAGTTTTTTAAGCTTTACTAAAGTAGTGTTGCAGTTTTCTTCGTCTATCGCTATTTAGATTAAAAATTGATGCCAAGAACAGCGGAGCTGAGGTGGAGAGGCTAATATGTATGTGTTAAGCTATGTGCTTTATCTCTTCACTGCACTCTCTAATCCTCTAACCACTGAAAAAAATAGAATAAAAATGTATAATATTTCATAAGCTCCTTAAAACATTTCTAAAAACAACAAAAGCAAAAATTTTTAGTACTTTATTTATTTGCTTTTGTTTTTTATTGTGATCGGTTTTTTTCTTTTTTTTTTTCTATACTGCTAATTATGTACCATTAATTTTATTGCTCTAGTTCTCCAGACTTTGTTGCTGTTGTTGTGCTGCTGCTGCCGCTGTTGTTGTTGTTCTCTGTTTGTATCATGCAAACCAATCATGAGAAAAAAAAAGAAGAACAAGGTAATATTTAAAAAAAATGAAAGGAAAACGAAAGATTTTTGGTTTGCTGTTAAGCAATGAACTATAAATCTAAAAGGAATTAGCAGAAGAAAAAAAATGGTTTGGGAAACAATGGGGGCAGAAAGGGATAACGGCAGACAAAAATGAGGCAAAAGAGAAAGAAAAAATTGTTGAGCAAACTTATTGGAACAGTTTTTCGAGTTCTTGTCGGTTATATACTGTCTGACTAGCTGACTTTGACAGCTACGGTAGCGGTTAGAATACTTGTATAACTGTAGTTTCATGATGATCTTGTCGACAACTATTAGCAACGCTATAGTCGCTATGAATGAAAAAGAAGATTATTCAAAAAAAATTAGTAATGTCAAGATTCTAAGATTTCAGGAAAGGCGAAATGTTTTTTTTCGCTGTGCAATCTCTGTTTTCGACTTTCTTTATTCCTCTAGTAAAAAATAAATTTTTCGTCTATTTTGGTTTCCTTTTTCTTCATTGTGTATTTTTCGTTTATACTTTTCGTTGTTTAGTTCGCTTTCTTCTTTTTTTGTGTGAACGGTTTTGTATGTCAAAATTTTGCAGATGCTATCCAAGAGATATGACACCAGAGACGTTGGCATTGCTGTTATGAAAATTGTATTTTGTTGTTACCGTTATTACCATAACTGCTGCTAAAACTGCTCGTACTACTGCTATTGCTGTCACAAATAGTCACTGGTAGCTGTTGGTAAGTCGATAATGTTTCATCGGCAGTACCTTACGATTGACATTCAACCTGACAAATATTAATCAAAATTGTATTTTCAAATAAACTGTATTTTGTTAATTTTCAACAACTTAAATACTCTGTTTAAAGTTTCATTTTTCGTCTTCACTCGTCTTGTTTTCTCTTGCTTTTTCTCACTGGTTTTGCAGTTCCCTCTTCATCTCTCTATTCCGTTCTTTTGTGTCGGCTAAGCCGTTCTTTTTTTCGATGGTTTAAGCAATTATCAAGAGTAATAACCTGATGCCTTGGAGAAGATTTATAATAATATAACTAGATGCTGAAAATTAACTGTAGGAAAGAACTAAAATACTAATGAAACAAACAGATAAACCAAAAAACAATGAATTGCAATTATGCAATATTAGTGACGAAAATTTGCCGGAACAAAATTAAAAATTGGCTTTTTTATCTTTTCCTCTTATTCTCTTTTCTAATAAAATTGCAAGAAAATTGATCGGTGTAAATTTCAAAAAATGTCTTTTTTTTTGTTTGTCGTATGACTTTAAATAAGTTTGGGTACACAATTTTTGTCAGTATGCGAAGAAAAGATTAAAATTTGGCTTTTCTAAATTTCACAGTGAAACAGATGATTTAGCATTGTAGGCGTTGTTTTCCAACTCAATAGTCAATTTGATGCAACAAAAATTTTTTCTAACATTTTCCAAAGTTTTACAAAAAAAACTTTTTTAGTGAAAAAGGTGGAGCAATAAAATGAATACAAAGGTTGAATTTAGAGAGTAATACTTTGTAGAGTTCATCTACTTGAAAAAAAAGCTTCGACTTTTAGACAACTAAGGTGTCAAAAACGAGTTTATACAAGCGTTAAATTAGAAAATGGCAGATGGAGATGTCATTTTTTAGGATTTACAGAACCGTTGAAAGTGAAAAGTGGATTGAGAAAATATTCTTTTAGATTAGATGTGATATTATAGAATGTATATTATCTCGGATGTGTTTTTAGGGTAGTGGAAGAGTGGCTAAGCGCTACTTTTGTAGGGGCTGTTGGAAGAATAAAGTTGTAAAATTGAAATTAGTTTGGACTTTTTTGCTTCTAGTCGCATATCAAGAACTTCACAAATTGTGATACACTGGGTGGGAAGTAAAAGAAACCAAGATGAACTTTTAAATGAATGGAAGTTTTTTTACGACTAGAAAATCTAATCTGGATAGAACACTTTTACAGGTGCGGGTTGCAGATTGCATATTTTGAAAAACAAGTAAGATTTTTAAACGAAGTTCTTGACAGAATCACAGACACTATTGATTCGCATAATTTCTGGATTATAGGCCTCAATAGTACAGCTTACTTAGACTGTTGGAGGGGAGAATAAACACCGCATAGCGTAGGTTTCACTCGTAAAACTAAATCAGCAACACATTTTTTTAGATTCAGGAAGTAAATACACACAAAAACATTGAGAGAATCTAGGGTGTAGCAAAATGGGGGATTAAAAAACACCTAAGAACTGCAAACCACTCGCTTATCTGGCAGGATTCATTTGACGCTTATATATTAAAGCAGATCAGTTTCAAAAAAGTCTTCCCTGATAATGTTGTAAATTACTGTCAGCTCATACCTGAGTAGCTTATAATTTAAATCATGCGTAAGTGAAAAATAATTTATCTATGACGAAAACAAACTGTTACAAATAAGTTTCGTTATTGTTTCAAGAAAGACACGAGAAATTTATGAAATGTGTAATAATTTTTGAAAGCCAAAAATAAATTCTACAAGTTCTGCCTGATTTCTCAGCATTTCTTCACGTGTGGAATTATAGTGAGAAAGTACGAAATATGCTAGTTATTTCAATGAAGTTTTGTCTTGGAATTTCAAAGCGAAAAAAACTTGGGTGTATTTATTTTTTTCTTTTATATTTGCTTTTATAGAGGCTGTTGGATCATTATAATGAAAAGGAATTAGTATATAAATAAATAAATAAATAAATATATATATATATAT